TCGTCGTCGTCGTCGTCGTCGTCGTCGTCGTCGCCGACGCAACGCCTGACGCTCGCATGGGACACTGGCGGGCGCTATTGTGTCATCGCGAAAACGTCTCTTCGGGCCGATTCTCCGCGTTGGACGAACGTGCGTGCCGGTGCGACCATCGTTGCGACGCCTCATCGACGTCGTCCTGGCTGCGGCATTCGGCTGAGCTCGTGGAAAGTTCGTACTGGTATTCGCCTGCTCGTGCGAAGCCTCTTCGCTCGCGACGCTCACTTCACGCGGACCCAATTTATGCCATTTCATCGCCGCTCGCCGAGGTCATTCGGGATTCTCGAGGATTAATGTCCCGCTAATTCATCCTCGAGCCGTGCTCTCGGATCTGCTTGAACATTGACCATATTTAATTACTTTTTTGCAACGACACCTTTACGGGAATCGACGCCTTGCAAATCGCACATCGGCGTGAATCTTAAAACCTTATTGGATACATGTGCGGCTTCTTTATGCGCATACCTTACGAACGTAATACGCCGTGTACGCAATCGATCGCTCAAAATTCTCCGTACGCGCAAGAGAGGAATGTTATTTCAAGATAAAAACGCATTGTTTGCGCAATCAGTTACTTTTCAACATATGCGTTTATTGAGAGAGAAAGAGAGAGAGAGAGAGAGTGAGAAGCACTACGCAGAGTGTTATTGTAACAGTTTTCGTTATTCAACTGATATGAGCGGAAGATCCTCGAAGCCTCTTTCGTTCTGAGAATCAAGTTGTAAAGATCATTCACACGTATATTTCGCAGCATTAAAAATTCTCGTAAAACGATGAGGACATCGTATAACTGGACCGCACATTTTTTTTTTTTTGCAGCGTGAATCCGCTGTTTTTTTACATACTCATTTTTAAGCGCTATTACTAATTACACAGTACTCAAAGCGATTCGCTTTCTAACCGATTTTTGATTGTAGTATTGTCTTTAAAAATGTTTAAAAAAAACAAGACTTTCTACACGGCTATATTATATCCGAATGTTTATTGGCGTATCTTTTCATTGGTATATATGTGCAAGCAAAACGTTTCTTTCAATGGGTTTTTTTGCACAGCATACAGCCTGCGGCAGCGAGAGAACATCAAAGTAAATAATCCCCGCATTACGTCAGATATCAAAGTTTATTTAGTGGAATATGTTTTTGTGAATATTTACATATATTTACGTATTGAAATGTGCGCTTCGGACGAACTACAACGGGGAGAGAAGAAGAGTTCACTGGAGTGGCGGCGGGCACGAGGTAAATTTCGATCTAAGAAAGTGAAGGTGATGCGGCAGACTTTCTCGCAAATCTACGTGTATACTGTATATACATATGAAAATATTTGACGGTGCCGGTCTTATGTTTTATTGATGAGGTCTAATACAATAGTACAATATATTAGGTGACTAATAGAGGCGGCTGGCTCCAATTTATACAATTCGATACAACGATTCTTCTTTAGACACAGCGCAATCTCTCTGAAATTGATTAGAGCCATCAATATTTTACAGCCGTAACATTGTTCGATAATGAGCCAATTAAACAATTACGCAACTCGCAAATGTGTGTGGGGAAAAACTAAGAGAGTGAAATATAATAAAAAGCTCTGCTCGTCGGCAGATGACAAACAATTGCGGGCGACGTAACTCGGTGAGAGAGAAAAAGAGAGCGAGACCGTTCTTCCATTGCTACTAATGTGCAAGTAGCATCCTTATAAGCGAGAGTTCTGTATTGCTGGAATGCGGTCCACAGCACTCCCTTCGAATGGTACATTCTCGGCGAGTTTTCAACGAAGTTCACGCGCCGCTGATACCGCTCGAGCCGAGCTCGCCACAATCTCACCGAGTTCCGTTTTCTTCCTCTTCGCTTCGGAATAGCGCGAGATCGTCAATTATCCCTAAATAATTGGCCATCCCGGCGTTATTTGTTGATTTCGCCATGGAATGCCGCCGAGGAGGCCCCTCTACGTACGCTATTTCAAAATCCACTTTCAACTCCGCGGAGTACCCACGGCGACACGTTCTTGTTCTCTTATTTGTGTCATCTCTTGTTATGACATTTTTTATCACTGTCTCTTTTCTGCTCTGAACAATGCCGAGAATGAACGCTGGCTCCCCCCGCTCTCCTTCTCAATGGGAAATCATCCTATAATCAATTTCGTTTAATAGAATCACGTATTAAAGGAAAAAAACTTTTTCTTTCTATCCGAGCGTCTCTTCTATTTGTAACCTCTCGACCTCGAGAGAAAGTGATGAAAAAAAAGAACTCGTCAGATGGGTTTATTAAATGGATAGAGAGAGAAAGAGTGCATAGTGCGTATACACCTACGCATGCTCGTTACGAGCTATTTATCTGTACACAGTCCATACTATTTCGGAACGACAGCCATTCGTCGTGTGCGCATCTCCGACTCATTGAATTTTTCGACACTCTTGATTCTCGGAGGAAAAAATATTCCCATGCCTGATTGGATTCGTTACAGTGGAGTATATGGAGATGAAAAGGAAAACGACTGTGACCAATGATTTATCTCAGGTCCGCGGGCGATTGCAAATTACCTGTGGATAATGTCAAGTCAATAGGATCACGTGAATCCAACGGGGCGCGTCATTTTTCTTTTTATTCTCCTTTTCGACACGAGCGAAAGTTACGTATTAGGCCGCGATAATTGGGAAAGTTTCTTTCTTCAAAATCTCTATTTGTCAGGCGTTTATAGCACAATTAATTATTTAAAATACGACCAGTCGACTCGAGAATGAAATGGCCGACTATGTTGGCATGCGACTACTTACGAGCTTAGAGCCCGGCTTGGTGTACGTATGCACCTCTAATCAATCAAATATAAAATAATATATATATCAAATGCACAAATATTCGATAATCTTCACATCTACGTTACATATAGTTAAACTAAGAACCCAAGGTCTCAATCTTTTGTCTCATAATAACATTGTCAAGGATTATTAGCAAAATCAATATAATTATAGCGTAATTGTAGAATATTAATGACTGTAACGTCGATGAATGATCGATTGAGAATTTTTTCAGAAAGAAATTACATCAAATTGACGGCGCTTACGGGAGCATTAAGTGAGATTGATCTCTTATTAGAATAAAAAAGCTTGATTCAAACGTTGGCTCGACGCGAAGTCAGAACGAACGAAATCGTACAGGAAGCGGCTCATCTTCATCGGGAGAGATGTCGAAGAAAAAAAAGATCTTGAAAGTCGCGCCATCAATCATAAAATGATAAACGCACAATAACCGAGCCGTAAAAAATAATCCAAATCCAGCGACGCGGTGTGAAATAGTACTGTTTTATCCATACTTGCATTGTCATCGATAACTTGCTCGAACCGAAATTCCAACGAAACAATTAGCCAAGGCCTCCAACTAGCTCGTCGCTCGATGTCGAAACGCGAAGGAACACCTATTTACTGAAAGAGAGGCTGGCATTGTCAGTTCAAACCCGCATCCCGAGGTCAAAATCTTTCACCGTGGCGATGTCCTTATTTTTTGGTGTTCGCTCCCATGTGACCAGCGCATTTTCTGACGAGCAATTTTTTTTTGCCCAACACGCGCGTATGCGATGATTCCAATGCAAGATTATCTTCGACATCGGGCTTCGGTAAGTAAGGAGCCCCGGCGCTCTGTGGTGTCGTTTCTTCTCCATTGTTGTATAATGACCGAACTGGCGGTAACGGAATACCGAAGGCAACGAGATCAATCTGTTTGCGGAAGATCCATTGAAAGTGAAGAAAGAAAAAAAGAAGATAGTTATCTTATTTGCAAGCGCCACAACAGAGTAACCGATTCGTCCTTCGGGCACACGTTCAAGCTGATCCTCGGAAAACGCTGCTGTGATACCAGGCTTTTAAATTAAATGTCTCTCCCGAATCAGATAAAATTTTACGCCGTGCACAGTAGCTTCGTTGAATCCGATTCGCGGTGAAATTCTTTTTTCTTTTATTCAATTATGACTGCGTTATTTATTGGCCGTTATAGTTGCGAGAAAGGAATGCATTTTAAACAGGGAATTTTTTCTCTACTTTACTACTATTTTCATACGCCGATAAACATTCGATTTTAACAAGCATTTTAACGAACGGATTTTATTTAACGAGAAAACATGATACACAAATAATGGAAAAGCTGCATTTGTAAATATATTCTCATCCAAATTGCGGTACGATTAGACTGTTGCGTAACACTTGGCTTACTTAATGATTATTTATTATTATTATACCGAACGTGCGCATAAATTATTCGAGTTCTAATTGTAAATAAAATTTCTAGTTCTATCGCAGTTTTCAAACGACACACATACAAACGCAAACTGTTGACAACACCATTATACATCACATTATCCCATATAGGTAATTCATATATGAAACTTCCAACCATAATTATAGTTATTACAATAAAACAGTTGCAGTTATTGCAATAAAACGCGATATGTGAATATATTACAACACGTGAAATGTATTTATAAGTTCGTAACGATACCATAATGTTCGATTGATTATCCACTGAGAGAACGTATCGTCTTCAAACACATTGTTGTAGCTTGTGCCCACCTGTGAATTGTGGGGGCGTTGGAAGCAGTCAACTCAACCTTATAGAGTTACCACCTGCAGATCTTGGACCAACGGCTGACATTCTTGCACCTTTCCTCTTTACCCCTTTCCCCTGATCTTTTCACTCTATAAATGCAAATAGGTTTGCGTGTTCTATCCTTGTCACGTCAATAACTTTTTACAAGAGTAGTACGTTGTTGTATGTACTTCAACAGTACATTACTTATGTCTGAGCTGTCAAAGCCCCATTTGCCTGTTCTCGAGATAACTCGCAGAGAAATACATAACCTATAAAAAGTGCTAATGTGTCTCTATACACGTATACACACACACCTCAATCTCTGATGAATCGACGTCTGCTTTGCTTACGTAGTTATTAGATAGACGGGTGATTACTTGTGTGTGCGTGAACATTACAAGTCCTCATGCACTCGTTCATTGCATACGTTTAGTGCATTTGCATTCGTCACGCCGTTCAAAGCGTCTACTCAAGTATTTTAATTGTACGCCATGTAAAATGCGTTGCTCTATGTTATGACATAGCTGTTGATATGGAGCATGAAGTACAACCCAAAAACACTACCCCTTATCACAGCAGCATTATCTACGATTAATTATTGCTAATACTAAGTACCTCTTTGTGCGTCATTGAAATGTGTAGCGCGTAAACAAAACACCATGAATGTCAAGATGAAAATACAGATTGCCATGGACGAAGATATAAAAGAATTCTTCCAAATAAGATTGTGCTTGTGTTATCAAGAGGAAGGTGGGTTCAATTCGATTGTCGTTTCAATTTCTATATTCCTCATTTAGGCGCTCTGATCAATTAATTTGTTTGAATATTCAATTTCCATAAAAAATGTACTATGGATGGAAACAAAATACTTGTAACTCATCCCTATTGATACTCGATTTTGCTCACAAATAGCAAGAATTATTCAAAAACTACATTTATTTTATTTAATTCCAGAGAATGATCAACTTTGACTCGGCTAAAAAATAATAGACAACAATTATGGGGGATGTACTGTATCCTACAAGTCCTCCATCCTTGGTGGGGGTGTCCCCAGCATACTGGAACTACTCCGATCATGTCAATCTTGAAAATATTAAAATGGATAGTAATTTCATGTGGTTACTCTGTTCATTAGTATCAGCTATTTCTTGGCTAACTTATATAACTTATTATAACAGTAGAGTACTTGGGTACATTTTGACAAAATTATTGAATCGCTTTGTTGGAAAATACCAGTACATCAAAGTTGGTATGTGTATCTGTATCGTAGAATTTCAAATTATTCTAAACATCCTGCTCCATAATTTATTCTACTTAATTTCAGGATCTTTTACATTGTGTGCTCTTAGTGGAAAAATAATGTTCAGAGATATTGCTTACATTACGACAGATTATACTGTAAGAGTTCAAGATGGATATCTTATATTTAGGTGGTGGAGAAATTATGTTCCAAAGAATATTTCCGAAGGTATAGAAAATTACTGATTAAAATCTAGATTTAATATAAAAAATAAATAAATAATTCATAAATGTGTTATTGATGAAATTTTGTTTAAAAATCACAGATCTATCACATTCCGATACTCGTCTTTCTGTTTTATTAAATGGTTTTGAACTACATGTTTACAATCGCTGTGAACTCTATGCACAATTAGAAAAAACTTTTGGCCTTCCACCTGAAATATTTCCTGAGGAAACTCATACAACCAACACTGATAATCAAGAACCAGACACTAAAAACAAAAAGAAAAAACGAAACAAGCCAGCATCCACAACTATTGATGTATCAAAACATGTTGATAATATTAGGAAAAAAGAAGCTTATGTTATTGCCAGGACTTGGAGAGATTTAATACCAGTTATTAAAGTAGATGTTTGTACAGTATGTATATTCTAGTGTAAATATTTTTAGCAGTAAGAATGTAAAATGAATCTAAATACAAAATTTGTCATTCTAGGGAAGATTAGTTTTTGGTAATTGTCTAGTACCAACTACATTGTCTGTCAATGTAGAAGAAGCTCATTTTATGTATTCTACAAAACCAGCTGCATCTCAACATGATCATTTTATGCATATAACAAAATGCAAGGCTGAAAATTTTAAAGTTATTTTAGCTCCCAGTCCAAAGTATACAGGAATGATCGATGAACCACCCCGTTTCATGGGAGAAGGCTTTGTAGTTTTGAGTTCAAATCACATGGAACTTTATTATTATATGGATGAACCAGGTGTCGTTCCTGAGCAACCAGAAATGATCAGGCTAGCAAATGGAGATATGGTTGAAGCTATGCCTCCTATTTGGGGTATTGATATCAAATGTGGAAAGGGTACAGATTTCAGTTATGGACCTTGGGCTGATCGTCAAAGAGAACATTTGTATAAATTATTCTATCCTACTGATTATCAACCTCTGAAAGTAACAACAGCTCCAGTACCTGGTGATAAAAGACAAGCTCACTCATTCGATATTCGTTTATCTACACTCAACGAAGCAACAATTGATATATTATTTAGTAAAAATAAGGAAACCAATGCTGTTCATGTTAACGTTGGTGCAGGCTCATACCTGGAAATAACGATGCCTTGGATTGTACTTCAGGATGGATATACAACTAAAATCACTGGTCAATTATTACATCTGGAAGCAACTACTAGTTTACAGTATCGTAGTTTAGTGGAAAGTGAAACGCTAGAGTTTAATGTAAAGTGTTATTATCCTGTAATTTGGAATGATGAGCAAATTTGGACATTGAATTTGACTGGTTGCAAAGCCACAGCGAGTTTAGTTTACTCCCACAAAGAGTTTTTTCAAGACTTAATCATGGATTGGGCTAGTAAGGCTATACCCGATCTGATGTACTTTGTGCCGTACACATGGAAGTTCAGTCTGTTGCTTAAAGAATTTGAAATAATTACATTATGCAATGAATTTAACTGGATCGATTGTTCATCGCAGAATCAAGAAAATTCGCATATTGCTTTCTGTGGAGAAAACTTTGAACTGTCATTTGAATTACCTTTTGTTGAATTTCTACCACCAACTGTTCCTTTACGATTTTGGATACAAGGTGAGAGCGTGGATCTAGCATTTTATTTACCAGAAGTGAACACAAACCGTAATGTATTCATAGCACTAGAGAAAAATGCACGAATTCTCTGTCGAGATGGTAGTGTAAAACAAATGTCAGATCTTAATAAAAATAAGAAATGGCGTAACGTGTGTCAAAGAGGATCAGGTTGGATAGACTGCTGGTCTGTTCCAATTGTAGCTCTAAGTATCAATTATACGTATCATCCATGTCCGCCGTTGGGTCCACAGCCACAAGCAAATATCACAACACCAGAGAAAGAAGAACTTTTGTTGTTACCAATTAGAATACCTAGAAGCAGAAAATCACCAGGAGCAGGAACAATGCAGTGGGCTAAAGAAGCTACTCAGAAGTTTGACCCTACAACATTAGAACCTGATCTGGTCAATCTCGAATTGGAAATTGGTCCCTCGGTGCTGTTTCTTAATGGATCTCTCATTAAACATTTTATACACTTGAAAGAAAATATTTTTGGTGATTATCAGTTGTTTACGGACATGCAACAGTCTCGGACCACTTCTGCAAGCGCCAAATTAGACAAGAACAAAGATCGTGATGTTCAAAATAGTAGTCTTGAGACGTCGATGGAAGACGAAGAAGCAAGAGCAAAGCAATTCGATCCAAGAGACTATCGTCCATTTGACGTTACTGTAGGAATAACTATGCACGATATTCAAGCACATTTGGTTAAGAATTGCAATGACGATGACCCACCATGTCCAGTAATACTATTGGAGCGCTTTGGTTTTGAAATGAAGAAAAGTTTCAGAGAAACTCAGCTGCAGCTCTTACTTTCTCCAGCAATTTTACTTTTATCAGATAACGTTCCGAGATCTAACAAAGAGAAACATCTGAATCAAGGCCATTTGATGTTGAGTGCATTGCAAGTTAGGGGACATGCAATGTTTAGTAATGAGGGTAGAAGTTTGGATCAGGAGACTTTAGAGTATGCTTGGTTGATTGAAGTGCAGTTAGGAAAATTAAGTGGAAAAATAACTTCCCCTCAATTACATCATTTGATCACGTCTCTAGAAACATTCTTGCTTATGGCTAAAAATTCAGAAAATAATTTGAAACCTCCAGGTTTACCCAGTCATTGTCATCATGGTCTTCCACCCTTACAGTGTGCAGATAGTGATATCGATAAGCATTACAGGTTTCTATCATTGTTCATTTTGTTTAAATTACTTCATATTACAAAATTATTAATTAATTTAATAATTTAATTACAAAATCAAAAATCCCGCAGGTGTCCCAGTTCTGAAGATATCAAATACAGAATGAATCGCGTGGCTATCGATTCTATTGATTTGTACCTTCAAGAAAGTGGCACTGCTACACAAATCTGGGCTTCGCCTATCCGTGTATCAACTTGTAATTTACACGGACAACAAGTAAAAGCAGGAATAACAGCGATACTACCTACACTTCTCGTTCGACAATTCGTTTCGGCAGCTGGTCATTTTGCCAATACAAGTAACACTAATACTACTGCCAGTGGCAAATCTCATAACAATGCCAGCAGTCGATTATCAGGTTTATATGATAATTTTCTTCCTCTCATATACAGTTACTGAAAATTCTAGAAATATTATTATATATAGGCTTTTTTATATCTGCAGGTGACGGATCTGATATCTGGTTAGAAGTTGGTTCTGTATCAATGGGACCTATTGTTATTGAAGCCGCTATGTCGCTTCCAACACCCGAACATAATTTACACGTTGTTCAAAATAATTATTTGAAAACTCATGATGAGAAAACGAAAAGATTGTGGTTTTTATGGTCGCAAGAAACTGGTGCTAAAGTCGCCAAATGCGGGTGCATAGGTGGTTGTGTATTTTTCGGAAACAACAGAAATGGACCAAGGTTTTTCAAACCAAGTTATCACGATTTGCAGGAAGGTATCAATATTGCTGCTTACCGGTAAATTTTTAAATCTTCAATATATATTCATATTTTCTGTTGGTTTTGATTATAATAATGATATAACATTCATTTGCAGAATCTTCGAACCTGGAATAGATAAAGGATTTGCTCAATCAATTTTACACGAAGGTCAATTAGTATTTCACACTCCACCGTATAGTTTACAAGATGTAACACTTCAAGATACGGTTGTATCAACATCTGGAGAACCATCTCACCGGTCAAACAGTTCAAAAATAATTTTTGAAAGATCTAAATCTGTGATCAGTCAGAGTAAAGGATCTGGTATCGGAGAAAGTGACAGTGCTAAATTTAGCGGATCTTCAACTAGTCCGTTCAGCGGAAATAACAAAAAATCTTTAAGTCGACGATTTTCGTATACTTCGCAGAGGTAATTAATTTATTTATGAAAACATTCATTTTCATACCTTAATTAAATTATTTTATTTATTCTTTTTCAGAGGAAACAGTACCAGAGATGTTCCATATGCTCGTTTATTTGATGCTAGTCCCGCCGCACAATTGCCTCCTAAATTAGATTCAGACTCTAAGTTAAATACTCAACATAGTAAATCTAATTTAAGTGTTCCAGAAATCGAAAGAACACCCAAGAGTAGTGCATCTGATTCTAAATTGGCTGTAGATTATTTCAATATACAAGAAACAGAGTCACTTCAACAAGGTGCCCCTAGTCCTCCAATTATACCGATAAGTCCCATCGACTCAAGTGGAGCTAGTCAAGCTCTGCCTACGGATAGTGAATCACTACGTATGACAGGTTCACAACAATCATTGTATGTGCAATCGGACTCAGAGGACAAGTTACTCCAAGAGGTAATATTGTCATGTGATTGCAATTATTTGTTGAATTTTTATTTAATATGAAAAACGTGATTTTTATAGGTTCAAAGAACAGTGTCAATGTCATCAGAAAATCATTCGGAAGCGTTCTATTCAGCTGATGAAGATACCAGTCATGGCTTAGGTGGAAGTCATAATTCCAGTTTACGACACTCATTAGTTGGTTCTGCAATTGTTCCCAATCAAAATGAGTGCATCAAAAAGAAATTCTTATCGGACTTATCTATTGTCGAGAGTTCCGCAAATGCAATTCATGCAGCCGATAATGTTCCGGAAAAAGCTCATACGCTAGAACGGGCCAAGCCTCAGTCGACAAGTTCACGAAAAAGTACTCGAATTCAAGCTACATCTAATTTCCAATCAGATACCGAAGCAACAGAGAATGGAAATGTTTTATTACAAGATTCATCTGATAGTCATTCCGTTTCTTCTACTAGTTTTATATCTGCTGTATCATCTCAGGAAGATATGACCTTAGTCAATTTACATATGCAAGTGAACAAACCAATTGTTGATTCACCCTTATTGATGTCTAGTTACGTCAGTCATTTGTCACAGGTAATTTAAAGCGGGATTGAATGCGTAATTTTTAAAATGTTACAAATTATAAAAGTTTATAAATTTTCACAGGTGCGTTGCAGTAACTGGTCAACTTCGTCATTACCAAGTAGTGGCGATGCCTTTACCACTCCGGTATTTCAACGAACTGATGATGGGAGACTCGTGTACATTGGAGGACGGTACATTCCAAAATACGAAGTGATGACTGAAGGATTCACGTCATTGAAAATGATTAGTCGTAATGAATCGTCACCAAAAGCTTCTTCGTCAAATAAAACGCCAACTCATCCATACATATGGGATAGTTCTACTTTAATTCAATCAGAAGGTAAATATGTTTGTCTATTTATGATAAACTAAAGAAAATTAAAAAAATTCTATTTTACAAGGAGAAGAAATTGTAACCCACGGGGAAGAAGAATTTCTAGCTACCCAACATGAAACTGGATATCGAACGACAATCATTGTAAAGCTCAAAGGAGACATTGATATTATGATAAGTCCTTTAGTTTTGGAGTGTCTTCAACGCTTTATCGATGCAATAATTCCAACTCTGTCTACACTACATCCTTTAACGATTCTTAATCATTTGCATAACGAATGCATTGGAAGGGTTGAAGATGCAAATATACTCAAGCAGGATCAGAGCTTATCTTATTGGAGCCAAGTGCAAACTAGTTCTAAACGTTCAACGGCAGAAAGAAATTTGAAGAATGATGATGGTATATTGACTTCTTATTTTCATTGTCGATAAATCTAAGTATATGTTGTAATTTTTATTGTATTCATTTACAGGAAAAGTGGCTTTACAAACGAGTGTATATGAGGAATGTATTTCGACGCAAATACAAGGAAGTATTATTCTACCAAAGGTAAACAGAATAAAAATATTAAATTCCGCATACTTACTGATGAAATACGCAGAATAAAAAAATTATTGTATAATTATTTATATTTTTTATAGATAAACGTAACGCTATTACAAGCTTCTGTTGTAGAAGAAATCATATCATTTTCTGCTTTGGATAATATTCGTGACTTAACGTGTGTATCATTATTTGCGATTTGCTTGGATGATGTGACGGCAAGATTCTATTTAGGAAAACAAGCTCGAGAAATTGTCCAAACTTTTCACAAACCAGCGGTTTTACCTAATCAGAAAAAAGTTAATAAAATCACTAAAGCGTTTTTATCAGGACATCAGACTACTGCTGTCGTTGCTGACATTGGCGGTGGAGAGACTGTATACATAGAAACTTCTGAAAAGCAACAAGAAGAAATAATTGTTACATTAAATATTGGTAAGTATACATTTTACTTGACAAATCTTTAGCAATGTATTTAAATTTTAATTATATTCTACAGGAAAAGCTCATACGCAATTGAGACGATTAAGGAACGAGTCTTCCATTTTGAAGGATGCCGTCATAACGGCAATTCCATCATATTACTCTCGAGTGTTGTTTACTTGTACTAGAATCACATCCCCATTAAAATGTATTGACTATTATCTACTTCAACCGCCAGATGAAAAAGATAAACAAAATGTACGTTTATTTATCTTAATGGTAATTTTTTGTGAACCTTTTGATAAAGAATTATTGATTTTATAGAAGCAGTCAAGCCCACCACAAGCAACTGAAGAATTCACTGTAGGCTGCGGAGAAGACAAATTAGGTTTTATCATGTTTGAATGTGGATTGGAAGGAATCAAACTCAAAATTGTAAAGAGATCTCAGTTTGAAAAAGGTGATAATGGACAAAATGAAAATGAGACTGAAATTTCTGAAAAAGATAATAACGTCAGTAAAAGTCAAGATGATCTCAATAATACTGCTGGTACGTACAATTTCATTTGAATATATATTTAGTAAATAACAGTTCTAGTACAGATGAATAACGTTGCATATTTGTAGATTCGACAACGGAAACATTCGAACAAGAGTCAATTCAAGCTCCATCGAATCTTAACAATTCGACGCAACAAGTGAATACAAGTGCCATGGCCCTAGCGAAGGCAGCAAGTGGCAATACTGTATCTTGTGTAATAGAGCTGAGAACTGTGTGGTTCAATTTTGCTGCTCCACCGCGAACACCAATCACCCGTAAAATTGATTATACTCGATTGGATTGGAATTTACTCAGTACTGCTTCACCGGCAATAAATGCATGGATGAATCCGAACAACAGATTCGCCATTCAAGTTGTTCATATGTTCCGTTGCATGTATCGCAGGTCAACGGCTGTTGTCGCGTGTCTTATGGCAGAGGCATTAGATATGCAGGCTATTCATATGCCCGTGAAGGTATTATATTATCTTGTTATATGCATAATTGATTCATTGAATAGACGTATTTAAAAAAAAACGTTCTTGCTCAAATGACCTCAGAGTCGGTACGGAAAGTTAACACCACTTGCAAAGACGTTACAAGAAGATCCATCCTGTCAGTTATGCAGTATTCTTCAAAATTACATTTTACTGACAAATCTAGAAACTACTGAGGCTAATCTACGTGAAGCTGATTTACCAACGTTATCTACACTACGACAGGTAACTTATTACTTAATGATTATGGTTATATTATAATTTTTGTCAAAAAATTTACTAAAATAATTATTAGGGAGTGATAGTTCTAAGTCGACAATGGAAAAATGTACTTTACACTCCGTTGTTACTGGAGCACAACTACAAAACGAAACACATCAAGCCGTTGAACGTTGCATTTGCCATGTCGGACCCGGAGGAGGTAAAATGTTAACAAATCACTTAATAGTGCTATGGGCAAAAGTAAAAGAATAATTGCTTTCTTTAGGAAAACATCATGACCGACGGCGAAGGTAGTGGTGGAGATGCCGATGAGCAAGAAGTGACTGACGAATGTGCAATGCTTATCCACGCTGATCACATGCACAAACACTTGCACTCAAAAGGTCAAGAACGAACGTCAGGTATTATCAACAATTTGATGCTCAAATCCACCGCTGCACAAAGCTACAATATATATCAAAATTATTTCAAGTTTCCTTTATGCTTTCATTTTATATATCTTATGATACTAATGTAGATATAAAGACCAAAAGTATTTTGAGATTTAGGCAGTATCAAACGTAGATGTAAAGAAACATTTTTTAGTAATCTCAACAGCGCTTAATCATTAATATTTTGCTTAGTAAGAAAAGTAAAACCCATGCACATGTGACAGAAAAACTTGAAGTAATTATAGATGTGTTTTAGCTGCCTATGCTTACCATGCTGAATCAATTGTATATATGCAAACTAATGTACATATGTAATCTAACTCGAGTGAAAAAGTGTTCCATGATCTGATTCTAACCCGTAACCGCTTTTAATTGACACTTATTCCCCAATACTTAACACTGTAGTATCTCGATATCAAACGAAGTAGGTATGGTGAGTTGCGGTAGCGGTGTCGGTGGTTTGACAGTACCAGTGAGTTCTTCCCGCGAGCGAGACACAACTTCCCCGATTCCAGGCCCACCAGATTCTGTGACTTCACCACCTATGCAAAAGTCAGCCAAAACATTACAGCCAACTCAAGTACCCGCCAGCGCCAGAGCCAGTATCGCTTTTCCGTTGCTTACCACCGGTGGACTTTTTAATCAGTCTAAGGAACCCAACACCATTAGTGAGTACACCGGCTAAAAAATTTGGCCTCGAAAGGATTCCCTGATGTGCTTCGCGATTTTTAGCGATTGACGACAAAAAAAGATAAAGCTTATAAATCACATAATTCAATCATTTGATATTCTCCAATAATTTTTATCACTCAACAGTGATCGTGTAGATTAGTATCCATTGCTTAGCACATGATAGTTATCGTTCTTTTCGTAGCCAGGTACTGTGTTTCAAATGCTTGTAGTATAAATCAGTTTGATCGTCCAATTGATCCCTATAATTTCGTATTAACTCTGCTTACCAATGTGTATCAACTAACTATTTGACAAGTACGCTTTACCACGCTAAAAATGACACTTGAATAGCATTATTGTGAATCTGTGAAATAAAGGAAAATAAAACGAAAATAAAATAGAAAAAAAAGGTGATGAAGTAACACGTGAATTTTGTCGAAAAAAAGGCTACGGCACACTACGTGAAGAAAAAGCACCCCACATATACATTTCTCACCACCAACTGGGATCAAATCCGAGCATATACTCGGGTGGCAATGTTGGTCACGGAGGCAGTCAGCACAGCACAACTAGTCTAGACCAGATCACCTCTCCACCGACAAATCACTCAAGCAAACCCGTCAATTTAGGTGAGGATTTGTACAGCTGGATGGCCAAGCAACAGGAATATATGAAGGAGCACGACAAGGGGAATCTCAAAGGCAACTGGGTAAGTTCATTTATTCTATTTTACTTTATAATATTGATACATCCATTTTCTATAACGCAATAAAATAACGAATTTCACTTCACGATACATATGAGAAACGACTATTACACTTTCTTATGCAGGTCTTTCATACCGAACAAAAGGTTACCAAGGTATATAAACTCACAAACGAACTTGTTTATTAGATACTGTGACTTTATTGTTTTCTTTCCTTCGTTTTACTTGGTTGCGTAGTTTATATCCATTATTACTTATTCATTTTTCATTTTTCATGTTGTGCTATATTGTCAACCTATTTTTTTTTTAATTTTTATTACTATTCATTGTTTTAAATCCTAATATTGAATTATTTTCTATAAAAATAGGACTCTAAAGTTAATACCATGACGACTGAAGACACAGAAGACTCTGACGTTCAAAGTGGTGCTTTCTTGTATACCATGAAAGACTCGCTTCGGTTGCTGGATGCGCATCTAATCTTCGAGCCGCTACTGTCGTCTTTGTCGGTGATGCCGCAACAAATGCTTTCTGCCATTAGTTCTGGAAATATTAACAACGTTTCCTCTCTGGACTCATTGGCTTCAAATGTGTCTTTAGTTAGTAGCATGGAAACCATGAGAATCGATATTGTTGTTAGTGAACACGGCAAAGTTCCGGACAAGAAAAAAAGTAAGTTTCAAATGAACGCCCTCTTTGACAATCTCAAATGTTACCTATATTTTTATTTATAGATAACAAATACCAATCGAAGAAATCAGGTTCAAAGTTTCATTTGGATATTCCGCCGGAAATGCCTGCCTTTCTCTGTGAAAAGATTGGAGTTGACATTGACGTGAAAAAAATGGCAGATATGACTGTCGACGATATGATTCAAAAACAAAACGTTCTGTATATTTCAAGAGGTCAATTAAAAAAGCACACCAGCACTGTTGTTAATTTTAGCTTAAACATACGTTACATTAGTCAACAAGTTAACATGCCACTTTTGAGACTTTTACATCAGATTAGTAACATGTATCAAAACGTTAAGGAGACTCAAATGGAGCTAAAAGCTCAACAGCAACAACCGGACGCAAAAATAAATGCAAATACTGTGATAACCACTCGTACGAAAAATGGCTCCTCTTCAAGTATGTTTTCCATTTTTTCTTAATATATACAAAATTGCTTATCATATGTATTTAATAAATACCGTGCTGATTTCAGCTTCTGATTTACAAGAACATTTTACAGTAGCGATGAAAAAGGCTGAAAAGCAAGTAGCAACAAAATCCGTAACCAATAACCCTCAGCCCAAAGTGATTTCCCCGTCAGCGAGTTTACGCTCAAGGCCACAAAGCTTTACGCAAAAATTACGCAGTACCGGAAAAAGCGTCAAAGGGTACATGAACTTGAGCGAAGGCATCATAACGCCAAACTTCGGTGCTAGTCCAAGTAGTTCAGGTTTAGATAAATTCAGTATATTATCAGAAAAAGTCAAAACTGTATCTATCATAGCGCCAAGATGCTGGAAAACAATATATCACCTTTTGGATTTGTACGCCATAAAACCAGAAACAAAAATGATCTCACATAGACTGTCGGTGCCTGCAGACACCACGGAACGTTACAAGGGAAATAAAAAGTATGAGAATTTGAGCGATATTAAAGAGGCTGACGTAGAAAAAGGTTTGAACGCAGAGACTAGCTCAACTCCTGTACCTCCTCCTCGGGAATTAAGTAAGTTTTGCGACAGTATTTTTAATTATTTTAAAGATTAATTACAATATATATATTTTGATGCAGGCGTCGTCACTGGTGAGCGAACAAGACTGATTATTTTTGGAGTAGCTAGAATACATCGAACAAGACTTTTAGCTACACTAAGTGGACTTAAACTAGAAGCAGAGATAACTAGTTTACATGCAAGTTTAACATGCCGTAAAAAGACTCGACCTGCAAGCTTAGAGTGTAGTTTGACTGGCCAAATTGGAAGGACGATGATTGTTCTTTTGGAGGGTGTAGCACCTAGTCAACAGACTGTCGTCAAAGTAACAGTGGGGAAATCACAGGCCTTATATTCGAGCGTCACTAGAAGGCAGAAAGATAAGAATAGCGGTTTGCTAACAATCGGTGCTGTTAATATCGATATTCCTCAGCATCCTGTCGCTTTGCATGGCATGATGACAAGAGGTAGCAAGCAATTGTCATCGACTCTCCAGGTAAATGGATTGAAAATATGTAATATAGAGATTCAAAACCATTTTACAGTAAATATAATTCATTTATATACAATTTTCGTACAGGAACTACGTGTAGCAAGGACTTCCTCGCGAATGGCTCGTGGTCAACAGGCTGAAGAAACTGATGGAGTGCCTAGCAGTCCTCATCAATATCCAACAGCTCCTGCAGTCAATCTCGATAAATGTCAAGCTGTGTCTAGTCTTCTTGAGCCTATCGTGATGCAATTCCATATTATTTTGCAAAGCCTGAGTATAACAGCAGCGCTGCTTCCGTCGTTACAAGCACAGTATAAAATGGATCAAGTGAATAGCTCTGGGATTACTGGCAGCAAGGCTAAATTTACTATTGATTTACCAAATCATAGTCTGAGTTTCACCACAAAATTACAAGTAACTGAAGCCAATTTGCCATCTGAAGCTAGCATAGAGTTACCGAAAGTACATGTCTCTGCTGAATATATTCAGGATGGCGGTAGTAACTTAAATGATAGTAAAATTGCAGGTGATTATACAAAGTTTACAACGTTTTTTAACATTGATTGCAAAAGATTAATCACAATTTGTCTCACTATTATTTCAGATGGTGTTGTACTCAGACAAGGAAGCTACATGAGTGCCACAGCTGATATTGGTATATTTGAACATTCCTTGACTACAGATCTTCTGAATCACTTGGTATTTGTTCAGAAAGTTTTTATGAGAGAAGTAAATGAAGTTGTGCAGAAAGTTTATGGCGGTGAGAAACCAGTGCCGTTATGGCTTGAAGACGAAGAACCTGGAACCTCTTCTAGTTTAAAAAGAATCCTGTTTTCACTTGTTATTCGTATTAAGGTAAGAGCAATCACTTCAATTTTTTAATTATACAAAAGGCTTAGTCAATATTTGTAATATAGTGTATACGTTTTATAGAGAATTCAACTGACGGCAACAACACCAACCAACTCAGCAGTACGACTGGAAACAGGATCCTTCGAATTTCAACTTTCAAATCGCGTTCAAAATGTTTCTGGTGCTACGCAGCCAAATCCATACTCGAAATTATTTGGAAAAGCTCAAGTCGAAATCAATCTCAGTCTTGGGCAGCTTATTAAAAATGTCATGTTTGAAGAAGCAGATCCGGAATTTCAACAATATGCATTCTTCAATACTCGTATTGGTTTACGAAATGCCTTCCAAGAAGAGTTGGCTGAAAAAGAAGACAAAGAAGTTGTTCTGATAACTCTGAAGAGACCTTTGATTTATATCCAGCCAATGGCAGTTGACAAAGCCATTCTTGTTTGGCTAAATTATAAAAATGCTTACGAATATTGGAACGAGAAACGATCAAATTTGAACAAAGAAGTTCTGACAGCCACTCAACAAGTGTTTGAGAAAGTACCGTTCGGTCAATTAACTAGTCAACTTAGCTCTCCTAATTTAGGAACTTTGTTCTTACAACTGACTGTTGACGACATGGGTATTTGCATCCCATTGAATCCATTGCCACCTGCAAATTGGGGTTTGAATAGAGGAATGTACGAAGGCGACTCTAGAGGAGCTGTTGTTATAACTTTAGAGAATACTAGTATTTCTGCTTGTAGTAGTGGTAGCTTAGTTAGTAAGGGAAGGTGAGTTAATTACATTGATGAAACAAATGTTTTATGATTTATAATTTTATCAACAATAACTGGTATTTATTTAAATGATTTTAGATTTGTTGGCCTATGCTTGAGATTCGCCGAAGACTTTGAAACATCACTGGACGATTGGAAACCTGATGTAAATGATAGTAGCATTATGAATTTATGCGTTGTTTCTGAAGGCACGTATGAAGTATGTAGCAGAACAATAGCTCAAAAACAAGACAAAAATGGTACGAGATAAAGTTAATTCTTGTTTATTATTACTTATGATTTTTATTTCACGACATCCTTTTTTCAGCCCGAGTCACCGAAAACGCAAAGTGGATTCTAAATGTGCAGTGGCAGATGGAGGGTGTTGACATTCACTTAGACGTGAGCGTTGGTCAGCAGTTATCTGCTCTGGGACACACTTTGACAATGTTAACTGGCTCGGAAGAAGACGACGCTCGTGCATCTCTTGACTACGATAGTGACGATGCTAATCAACCAGACAACAGTACCAGCCAGGAAAGTATCTTAATGAAAAAGAAAAACTGGACAGATAGTTTACCAGCTTTCATATTTGATCCTTCGCTCGATGCTAAGAAGCGCTCGAAGTTAATTGAAAAAGAAATGAATGAGCAAGCTAAAATTATCAATGACTTACGATCTCTTGGTGCATCACACGGGACTATAGAGCAAGAAATGAAGCGCTTACGTGAATTGGAAGCTCTAGTTTTTAAAGATTTTAGACGGTAAATGTTCCATAAAAATCTGTTTAAATTTACTACGCATTATGTTAGCCAAGTTATAAATACAGCGATCCGTTATAGTGACTGGATACAAAAGCTGAGAAGACAGTCTGTAAAACCATCGGGTATTCGTGGGAAATTGGGTCTCGGGAATAACAAACAAACTTATAGATCAAGGTCTTTCATTGTTCCGTCGCCAACACCTGAAAATCAATTAGGTAGTCCTGAAGATATGAAATCGGATACAACTACGATCAACTCGGCAAGCTATGAAAGCAGTCCGAAAAGCGGCCCAAGCAGGTATATATTGCGATATTCTTATTTTTATTTCTTAATGCAAAATTGAATCAATTCTAAACCGTAATGTTACGTTTTTCTTTTTGCACATACTAATTTCGTGTTTATTTTTATACTCAATTTCTTGTATACCCTTTATTACAAAGTTTATTATAAATATAGATCAGCATCTCTGCGTGTAAGAGGACTTGGCGGGCCTCGCGTAACGTTTAGCGATACTCATACAATTTGCAGGTCAGTTAAATTTTAATAATATCTCATAAAAATCATTAATATATCGGTACCTTTGAAATTAATCTTGAGATACGTATTTCCGTATTCTAGGCAATCATCTCTGCCTAGCGCGGGATCGGAACTGAGTTTACCCGAAGGGAGTTTAGATTGGCCCGATACCATCGAAATTGACGGTGAGCAAGTGGAATTGCGTAAGAAGAATAAAGAAATGAGTACAACGTCCAGTTATGACAGTATGGAGGGAAAGTAAGTAGTTTAGTTTTATTTAGAGAACTTTAAGTCATTCAAAGAGAAAATGTTATTAAAATATATTTTTTTATTTCAGTATCCCCTTATTAGAATCATTAGTTATTGATCCAACTTCGAGCACTACTTCGCCATACTTTTTGCCTCAAAAGCCACAAGAACCAAACATAGACTTTGAACTCGATGTCAAAGTTTTGATTAACAGTGGCAAGTGTGTCTTACATACAAAAGATCCAACAAAAGAAGATGAATTAAAAATGTTAGTGAAACAATAATAATTATGATTTTTTTAAATAGTGTAAATAATATATATATATTTAATAAATCTTTAATTTTTAGAATGAGTCGAATGAAGAAAGAACGCTCGTGTTCAGGAGGTACATTTGAGTTTCAGGCCAGTAGTCCAAGCAGTAGTAGAAAGAATGAGCGCAGTAAAGAAAAATCGAACACTAGTTCATCTAGATTACGATATGTACATCATGCGAACGTGCCTTTGGTAGATTTGACTATATTTCACATTCCCGGTCTAGATGTTAAAGTAAGTTTTAATTATACCTTATAAAAATTTTTTGCCAAAGAACCTACGTAACTGATTTTTATCATTCATTGAAGGTTCACTACGAATCCAAAATAGTATCCGAAGAGTCCCTATCGCCAAGAATTTCAATTGATACTCCACTTTTGAATCCATCAGCGATGTCCCTAATGAGAAAATCAAGTACTAAAAAAGCCAGTCTCTTCGCTTGGATGACACTGCAAAGTATTCCTGAGGAAACAATCATCAGTCCACACATACTTGGATTTTTAGAACAAACTTTAGAACCCATACCAAGTAAAATGAACTTCCAGACAGGTGGGCAGAGTGCTATGTTCCCTCTGGAAAACATGGAAAGTTCATGGGCTGCGACTGCTGCAAATAGTAATTACGTTTATGCCAGTTTTCCGGTAGACGTTATTGTTTACTTTCACATGCAGCCGTCGACGTTCAGGTCATTTACAAATTCTAAAATAATTTTTCTTCAAAAGCTACAAATTTTGTTATAAATATTTTTACCTTCAGATTTTCCTGTTTGCCTGTATCACGAGTCGAATGCATGCTACAGCTTCCGTCTCTCGACATTGTAGTCTCATCAAAGCGAGCTGAAGAGGATCTCACTGAATTCGGCGAACACAAGTCGGGCAAAGAAAGTGGCTCTGCAACTGGTGGAATTTCTGTTACTGGTTGTCTAGCCGATTTTTCTGTGTACATATTTCATCCATACGGTGGCAAAAAGTCTGGTCCTAAGGAAGCACAGTGGTCACCACTTTCCGATAGCGAAAGAAAGGATTCACTCAGCATCAATGTTGAATTTGTCAACTTTCATTTATCGAGAAGTAAAAAGAAGAACTTCCCTAATGATCAATTAAAAATTAGCGGAGATCCGAGGGCTGTTATAAGATTTTCAAGTAAGTATAAGTTATACAAATTGAATAATTGAAATTAATCTGAATCTGTAAAAGTTTAATTAAAAAAACAATAGTTAATTCAAATTCTTTTTATTTATTTAGCTATTGTTGACATCGGCTCGGCTTCATTCAAATACGATATGCGAAGATTGACTGAAATCCTTGCTTTCCCAAAAGCTTGGTACAGACGTAGCATTGTTAGACGTTTATTTTTGGGTGATCTTAGCTCAAGTATGGCTTATTCCGAAGGCGACGTTCGTAACCGCGAGGAGGCAGCTATGGGGAGCTCTCTATTAAAACATGACCGCCATGGCAGCGATGTGTTGTCGAAAAGTACTCCTGAGCGAAGTCCAAAGTTAAATAGAGATAATTTAAGACTGAGTTTTGATGGCGATACACCTAAGCAAATTCGATTGAAAGGCAAGTTAGCGAATCCAAATAAGTTTTTTAGTTACTAGAACTAAATAATAATTAAATGATTTTTTATCAGACATTGGTAGAGGATGGAGTTTCACTGGTGACAAACAGTCATCCGAAGTAAAAGTAAGAGAATCTGCTTGGGAAACATTGGTGCTATTTGCTGTTAACTTTACTCGCTTAAATGTACACATGAATATGGGCAATGTAATGGGAAACGTTTCTTGGATGACCAAAGATTTTCGTTCAGATGGAAGACTGTCAATCGGCAGTACTGGACATAAAAATCTGTATATAGGTATTGGTTTAGGAGGCTCTAGCCTAGACGCCAAGGGAGGTATTGTCGGCGGTATCATTGAGCTTAGCAAAATTGACACTTATAGTAAGTTTCTGATATTACAACTGAGTATCATTATTTTTTCTGGATTTTCCTTTATATTAATTATTACTTTTAAATAGTTCACATTCGCGAAGAACCTGACACAGAACCTGACCATACAGTCGGCTTAAAGTTGTTTGCATTGGAGTTAAGACTTGATTATATGGGCACAAGTGTTTTAATGTGCAGAGTATCATCCTTAGACGTTACTCTACGAGATGAATGGAAAATTAACCGTAGTACTTGTAGCGGCGCATTCATGCCTACAAGAAGGTTAATGTTCAAATGTTGTGTATTATTTTGAATATCAATTTAATATGTGTCATTTTCTACTTAACAGACCTGCTATAATATTTCTACATGGTGTCCTTGGCTGGGATCAACTACAAATAATGATAAGTAAATCCACAACGGCTGACCTGCTGAAAATGTTTTACAAGTTGGATGAATTCTTTAGTCAACAATTCAAGAGTAGCAAACGCGTGTTTAGTTCTTTACAAACTAGACAGCAAAGAATCAGTAACAACAGTCTGAAAAGAAGGCAACAGAAGAAACGTGGTAATGCCGAAGGTAAGTAGCGATACAAGTAAATTTGTGAGGTAGATTTAAATTTTGTCTGCAGATTTAAATTAAATTTGGACTCATTTTTCTCTGATAAACAGCATATTCACAAGCTGCACTAACAGATGCTCGACATCATCGTCATTGGCAACGAGTTCTGTGCCAAGTAGCTGGATTACAATTGGGAACTTTACGATTTGCTTTGCCGGCAAACGGAACGGTTCTTGGTGGTACAATGGAACTACATGGATCTAACATCAGTCTAGCATGTTTCCATGGTATCAATTTTAAGTGCAAGAGTTGGGCACTATTTTCGTTAAAAGAACCATGTATAAGTTTCGCCACGGAAGCTCAAGAAATTCCAAGCATAGAATGTAAGCGTTTTGAAAATAACTATACGTACTATATATAAATTACTCCGATTGACAAAAATGTTCAATACAGCACCCAACGCTAGCGATGTACACGTTGTTCAAACTTTAACTATCAGTTTGGGACAACAACAAGAACAGCACACTAGACATCATTCTATGGCAACTGTTTGTCGGATGAGTCGAAGTGTCCTGTTTCCTCCGCAATTCAAGACTTTACAAGAATGGTTCCACTATGCTTTTGCCAACAGTGAAATCGATGGTAATTAATGTTTGAGTGATAAAAACTAGATAGGATTTTAATTTAAATTCTTATATAATATTTTATATACTTTATATAGCTGTAGATCGCTTTCCTTGCGTTGAAAGAGAGAGAACCGAAAGTACCTCGGAATCAGCTGGTAGTAATAGAGGAAGAAATTCATCAACCAGTACTGGAAAACTGCAAGAACACTCCCATACGCGAGAAGTCATATTCTCACTACCATCGTTGCAACTACATTTAAAAACGGAACATTTACAAGCTGCCAAAACTCCGGATGTAATGGGTATGTTTTGCTTTTTTTCACTAAATTTTTAGTACATACTAAACACAAAAGATCTGTACGATTTAACAACAGATTAAACACTTACTTTTCTGAGTGATAAACATTTGTTGTTTAAGTACAATATTTATTGTTAAAAATATTTTTTTTTAATGTTTACTTAAGACTTTTACTTAACATACTGATACATTTCTAATAACTTGCTCTAATAATCCATTTTGTATTTCTAACAGTTGTAATTGTTCTTTAACAATGTTGTCGCACTGTTTTTATGTATTATAATTATTACTACATTGTCTTTTTTCTCTCTGCGTCTGTAATAATTAAAAAAATCTATTTCTGTAAATCCTTCAATTCTAAGGAGCATTTGAATTATATCAATAATTAATATGTACTGTTCTATTCTGTGACTATGTGCTACTTTCTGTTGACGTATTTCTAGGACTGCCTAAACATATACTTTATAGTAAGTACTATGTTGAAAACAATTGTGTTTTCCAAAGATTAGTGGCTTGTAGATCCTGAAAAATAGAATAATATCGTTTACAGATATCCATTTCAAAAAGATATTGTATGCATATGGAATGACGCTGACGCATGTTTGTTTTTTTGTTGAAAAGCCAAATTCATTTCATGAAATTAGATACATTCACATTCATTACATATCATCATTTCGTTACTGAATATTATAAATTATTATACTAGAGTTTACCTTGATGTATAAACGAATGAACAATATATGTTAAGTTTCCTACGTTGTATTAAACAAAACATTGAGGATTTTCATTGCTGTTCTTAAAAATCTCAATTAAAAATAAGTTAATTAATTGATGTGAAACTAAATGCAGAATGTTCGAGTGCAACTTATTCTATAATCAAATGTGCACTGCTAATGATAGGATTAATTAATGTGCTAGAGAAAGGTTACTTATGAAATAAATGTTGACAGGTGAAAAGCCGCTAGTAGAGTGCAGCTTTATAACTGAATTCGAGGACCACATATTTGTAACAGTTGACGCAGAGGCCTTTTTCTTCTTGCATGATCTTATCACGTCGTACGTCAAAGAAAAAGAACGGGTGGTAATTATCAATCTGAATAATTGTGTTCACGCTGATGTAACTATTATCCTAATAGTTGTATATTTTACAGCATGCAATGCAATACAGCGCTAGAGCCCACAGTCCCGATCCCACTAAGCGCAAGGGTGCAGCTCAAGCAAGTACCTCGGCAGCTACTGGCACGTCTGCCGAGGATGATAAGAAACGCAAGCAATTTGATCCCGCCGAGATGTTCATTAAAGACTGGCGATCATACAGATGTAAGACTTGGCACTTAGAGCCAACTGTCAGGCAAGTATCCGTAATTCTAACAACACTTCGATTATTGAAACAATGGATATATCAAATAATTGTACATTTATCAATTTCAGACTCCTATCATGGGCTGGTAAAAGTATAGAACCCTATGGCATCGATTATATATTGCAAAAACTAGGCTTTTCTCATGCCCGCATTACTATACCAAAGTGGATTCAACGTGGATTCATGGATCCTTTGGACAAAGTACTCGCCGTTCTTATGCTGAGGATGGTACTGGCTGTTCGCGATGAAACCCCTGACGAGAAGGAACATAAAAAGGAAAAATAATTCTTTCACACATCGACATACTAAACTTTTATTTATCGTGTAAAATTGATCATATTTTTTATAAACCATTTATTTTACGTCATCGTTCGTGCGACGTGAGGTATTGAACAATGGCGTAATAGTGCATGTAGATTATTGTAAAGATTTTGTTTGTATTTGTATTCTTTCATGTTTTTATATACTTGTATAGTGATTATACTGTAAAACAAATGTAAAAACAAAAACATAATAACGGAAGCGATGGCAAACGTTATTATAGCTTTAACAGGCAATGGCTTCCAACGAAATCATCATGTTTGTTACAGATACATACACATACAAAGCTATTCTTGTTTTCAAAATAGATATTAGCATGTGTGAGTGCGCATACGTGCTCGTTCGACTGTGATTTACTCTAATGCGAATTTTGATTGTATTGAAAAATGAGAGAAAACCATGTTATTGTAAATGTTTTGTCCCTTTTTTTTGTGAACGTAAGAAACTTTTTACTTGTGACCAGAGCAAAATTGTGAGGCTAATGTGTCCGTGGTATTTATTAATGTCACAACAGCAAATTTAAAACTTGTGTATATATGTATGTAGTTAAAGAATCGTTGGAAATTCAAGATATAAACTTTGTATCAATAAGTTGTGCGAATTATTAATTTCTTAATGTTATATATATAACAAGAAAGGTATAATTATTTAATTTAGTTTCTTATATGATTTATGAAATGAGCAATGAATTTTCTATGGCTCTATTATTCGTTTAATATTCATACTGCTTCGACAAATTCCTTTGTTTAATGTACAAAATTAAAGCTCATGACTGTATATTACGAAATAAAGTAGAACAAAACGTTAACATTTATCAATAACTCTGTCTTGGAGAACAGTTCTTTCATAATTTTTCCTAAATGAAAATATCCTGTTTTAGGAATTAGTAGAATACTTTTATCTTTCCTACTATTATACAACATTATTTATTGACACACTAGGTTTAGTGTTCTATTCGATGTACCATTCATGATTTACAAAATACTTTAATTTACTTATAAAATTTAGAATAAGCTTCTATTAACATTTACGTAATCTTGATTAATTCAGTTTCGAGCTTTGACCAAATGTTAATTGAAAATTTATAATGATAAAAAAGACCATCCTTTAACTCTATGAAAAAATAAATATATCTGAAATACCATGATTTTAAAAACATTAATAAATTACATGAAGGCACGATAAAGGGAAATATCCTCATGATTAACTTACAGAATCAATAAAATTCTTGAAATTAAAAAAGCAGTAAAAAATTTTTTTGTTTCGTTGTTTTTTGTATAATATATCATATTCAATTATTTTTCTTGTAATAAGTAGGTAAATTTGATATATGAAAGAAATTATTGGGAAAATCAATGGACAATGGTCAATATGGTCATATAATTACTTACATTTATTATCTCAATGCGTGTAACGTACATAAACGGACAATAAAAATGTGCAAACAGTTCAACTTTTCGCTGATTTCAAGCTTAATTCTACAACGATAAATTGCAATAAGGTATATTGCTTAAATTCTTTTTACAAAAAGTCCAAAATGAAAACATGAAATAAACAAGTATGAAGAACAAAACGTATTTCATTAATGCTCTAGGTTTATTATAGATATGTAATATCAGTGGCATAGCGTCTAAACGTAGACCAAACTTAATTCACATTATACTTTAAAACGATGTATTTACAATTACTTAAAATATAAGATTTGTAAACCTCGCGCTAAATACTTTTTTATCAATATACTCTACTAACTATCTGTTGACTAAAGATATACTTATAAATAAAAATTCAAGTCATTTTCAATGTCATGAATGAAATTTATGTCAATAGATCGTGCATCAATAAATACATTATAGAGAACTATGTACAAAAAGAACGTTATAGATTTGAATGAGTTTTTAACTACACAAGTATACTTTAAGATATATTTTTATAGATCCGAGTAAAGGTAAATTTTATTGATCTAAGGAGTTATCAGAATTATTTGGAATTTCTAAATTCTTGATAATTATTTTGATCTTAAACTTTACTCATTATTAACAACGGGGTTTTGAATCTCAAATAAACTAAACACTAGGACTTAACTAAAAGTTTTCTTTGAAAATCATAAAATACGCGAGTCTTTTAAAGCTAAATTAGACTTCTTCAAACATTGTATAATACTTTTTCCTCATTGTTCGTACAGTTACGAAAAGGCACTACAAAAGTATGATTAATGGAGATATGTTTAGCGATTATAAAAATGTTCTTTTGTTTTGCGAAACGTACACATAGCTTTCTTTTCTTATTTTGTTCGTAAAAATGTGAGTAAGTTTTTTAAAAACTATAATTATTCTGATAACTCTACAGAAGAACGTTGAAGATTTCATTATTAATAAAGAGTCAAGATAAACAATGCGCTCATTGTATATATAACAACATTATCGTCATCAATAATCTAATATTGCATCTTAAAAAATTGATGTATTAAAACTCGAGTTTTAGTGCCGAAAGACAATTATCGTACACAATCGTTGGAATAATTTTTAAGAGTTGCAATATTATTTTTTACTATCAATTTTCTTTTAAGGCGTAATCTTAATAGTAATATCAGATAGAGATTGCACTAACCAATGATCAAGTCGTGCGCATAAAAAAATCTTCTCTCGTGTAGTTCGTTACGGAAATCAGTTGCCTTTTTAACAAAGACTTTTTTTTTCGTAACATGCACATCTTCAAATGATTGTAAAGGAGACGCTGTAGTTAAAGTTGCCTTGAGTTCGGCGCGGCAAGTTGATTGACAATGATTATTGCATTACTGGTTACGCAGCGAAAAAAAAAGAAGACGAACGAAGGAAAAGCCAAACCTCCACTTTGTACCGGTGAGAGAGACGAACTCTGTAATGAAAGTTGTTGACCTTGATGGTGTAGCGATACGGATACCTGCCTCCTATGTTGATCTTTGTTCAATCGAGTTTCGCGGGTACACAGCAGCGTTTTGTCTCGATCTCTTTCTTATTCCTCGCAATCGCGATAGAAATGCAGCACGAATTCGATGTATTCGCCGGCTTGCCTGTTCTTACAAATATTCTGAAAAGAAGAAAAAAAAAATGCACGCATTTCAATGTTGGCTGTGCTGGATTTCGTGTAATGCTCACTTCTTGCGGTTGCACAATGGGCACGCGGAACCTCAGCGTTTTTCGCATGTAATTGGCAACGTCCAGGAGGAAAGACTGGTCGCCCGGTTGATTGGGGTTCTCGGTGAAGTGCGCCTGCGGCGAGCCTTTGCCGTTAGCGAAGCCCCAGCCGCAGTTGATCCCCTCGTCGAGGCCGGTTGTCGTCGGCGGTGTGCACTGCTGAACCACTTGCCAGTACCACGGCATCCCACTGTCGACGCGTCGACCGGGATTAGTTTGGACACGAGGATCTACCCGGGGAAAGTGCGCCGCGAACACTTACACGAAGCGCAGCGCCAACTGCGTGTCGGGCATGTACTTGGACAGAGGCACGATGCAGCTGAAGTTGTTGGGCGCGTTCGGGGCTGCCACCGAGCAATAGCGCTGATCCAGCGAAGCGTTGAAGCTCTTGGCGGAGACGAAGAGCTGTGGCTTGGGCTCTGGCGGCAACGAGCCGGCGGCGTTACTCGCCACTTCGCCCCAGTCGCTAGCACTACCCGCGCTGCGCCGGTTCCGCTTGTGCAGGTACTTGTAGTTGCTCTAGGACATTCGTTTGCACGTCGGTCGAGCTGCTGCGAGTGCCGCTCACTGCCGTTCGCAAACATCATACTTACTTCTTTGACGAGTGTTTGAGTGCTGGGCTCCGAAGGGCTGATGCCATTCTGAAGGCCCTTGCTCAGTTTGCGCTTCTCTTCGTGTATGCTCAACGGCTGCTCCAAGTGCTCCGCTGGAATTGCAAAATCTTTCCTTCACTCTGCGTTCGTCGTTTAGATTTGCCGAAATGTTCGGCGGCGACTTACACATGGCTTTCTTTTCTGCGGGCGGCTCGTTCTGCGGGTTCTCTAATTGATGGATCTCGGCAGTGCAGCAATAGACCTGTCGAGAGTCACTCGGAGTTAGGGTTCGGCACTTGCGCGTCGACGCTACGCTTTGGTTTCCTGAAGTCTCACCTGGCAGGGGCTTTCAAGCTCGGCAAACTGCGTCGAGCATTCGGCTGGTTTTCCCAAAGCAACGGGTCCCTTGGTAGTCGGTGGTGCGTCTACGTAGGTTCCCGGATCGTTTTCGTCGACGTTACTGGGTACTGCGCCAGGTCCATTTTTGCTCAGCCAATTGCTCGGAAACTCACTGTCGCGATAAGAAAGAGCAGGCATTAGACGGGCAGTCCTGGCTGCAACGCACCAGCGAAGCAAGCAATTTCGACTAACTTCTTGTCGACTTTGGGCGGCGAGCCAGGGTGATGACTCATGGGATACCACGTAATCTCCTGCGAATATAGATGTTGCTTGGGCGACTGCGTGGACATGAGATTCTTGAGATTCTTGTGGTCGGTGATGGTACTCGGATGAGTACCGTGCCTCGTGTACGGCGATGCTGTGCTGCGGAACAGTGGGTTCGTCTTGGGGTCGTAGCTCGACGACGGCAACGACGGCGACGACGACAACGACGACGATGACGAAGACGACGACAACGACGACGATAACGATGACGACGATGACTGGAGCATGTTTGTGTGGGAAGGACCGATTGCGAGGATACCGCTACCTGCCATCGCCGTCCACTCCATGCTGCTACGCTTCTGGTACTCCAAAAAGTAAAGCGTCGCCATCGCCACGAGACTGTAAATTGTCAGTCGTTGAAGCCATGTTCAAGTGTAGGAGGGAGTTGCGGCAATAGTTACCAGAATGCCATGATGAGAATCAGTATGACGATGATGATCTGTATGAATTTATTGCTACATAGAAGCTCGTCGTCCCTGTCCTTGGATTTGCTCGGCGGTGACGGCGACGACGATGACGACGACGACGACGATGACGACGACGACGACGACGACGACGACGACGACGACGACGACGACGAAGACTTGGCGTTGATCGATGAGTATTTGCTGGTCGACACATTGGATACCGAACTAATCGAACTCTTAAGACTATCGCCTCTCTTTAACTTAGCCAGTCGTTTGTTGATCCTCTCCAGTTGATCTATCCTCGTCTCCAGACTGTCCGTCACCTGTGCTCCAATCGCACCGTTGAATCGTAAGCTTTGGGCGCGAAGCTCGCGACGAATGACCGACGAAAGACGAGGAGGCTTACTTTGCAGAGCTCCTTGACGGCGCCAATGTTCTCCATGAAAATGCGCTCCTTGTTGACCACCAAGAAGTTCTCGATTCTCTGGCCGTTGGGCAGAACGATGTCGCCGGCGGGCAGCACGGCCTCGGGCAGGATCTGCTGCACCTCCTGAGCGATGACGCCCGTGTCCTCGTGCGTCCTGACGCCCAGGCCGGAGTGCTGCGCGAACTCGGGGGCGTATCGGTAGCGCACCACTCTCAGCTGCTGCACGTTGCGCAGCTGCTCGCGCGTGTCGAGCTCGTGCACGTTCTGCTTGGCTCTGGCGTCGCTCGGCTGCACGATGTGGCCCGTCACCTGAAGCAGGCGCGCGCGCGCGTTTATCGCGCTGTCCACGCGGCGGTCCACCGGCAGAGCCGACCTACCTTGACGTTGCCGTGGACCACGAGCGCCTCGTCCGGCCTGTCGGTGTTGATGCCCACGCGGCCGGCGTGGTAGACGCTGTCCGGCGCCGCCCCGCGCTGCCAAGTGCTCTCGGTGCCCGCCGTGCTGCCCTCCGACTCGAACTGCCCGGGGTTGCTCGCCTGCGAAGCACGAGCGACGCTTAGCCCCGGAGGAGCCGATCGTCGGCCGCCGAGGCGCCGCCACTCACCCTCACGATGATCCGCTCGGAGGCGTGCGCGACCACCTGGTAGTTGGCTTGATCGGCCGTGTGCGCGTGCAGCCCGACCACCAAGTAAAAGTACCTCTGGTCGGGGTTCGGCTTGCCCTTCTTCCTCATGTTGTTGCTCGTGGTCTCGCTGAAGTGCAGCCGTCCGACGGTCACTTTGGTCACGCGCTCGCCGCCCATTTCGATCCTGCAACGTTGCCGCGCGCCGCGCCACGATGAGAAAGGAGGCGCTCGCGCACCCAAGTCGCCGAGTCGGCCGAGTACTCACACGACGGGGTGAAAGGGCTTCTTGCTTCTGTCGCTCTGACTCTGCTCCACTCGGATCGTCTGCGCGGGCGACTCCACCTTCACGCCGTAAAAGTGCAGCTGGAAGCTGCTGATCTTCTTCAGACCCTCGCCGGTTTTCACGAAGACGGCTTCGCCTTGCAGCTGCGCGTGGCAAGTGATCTAGTCGAGCGCCCGGCAAAGCAGACCGTCAGATGCGTCGGCAAGCACTGCGCAGCGAAACTTACCTGAAAGTGATTCTTCTTCTGGCAAACGAAGGCGTCGTCGGAGTTGCTGAAATTGAAGCCTTTGTCGGCGTCCACTCGGTAATGCGGCACCGGCAGCTCCTTCAGGTTGTGGTCGCAGAGCGCGTGCCACGAGGTCTGCTGGAACGGATGGAAGCGGATGCACTGGTAACTGGCGTCCGAGTAGTTGTTGTCGGCGTTGGCGTCCTCGTTGTCCAGGCCCGTGCTGCTGCTGCTGCTGCAGCTGTGCTCCACCGTTCCCAGCTCCGGCTCCTGCGAATACGACCGACCGGCGAAAGCTCAACGACGCGTCGACGCCCAAGTGTCGCGCGCACTCCATCGACATTTATCCAAGCAACGCACAGCTTATGCGCGGTAAACACTCGAGAGGTTACGGGCGATGGCATGCAGTAAACACACGCACCCACACTCAGCCAGACGCACAAGTAGTAATGAAGAAAAGGATTCATACGTTATATACCTGCTTGACGTGTACAAGGCCATCCTGACTGTGCTTTCGCTTCTTCGGAGCGGGCTGCAGGGATGTGTACAACGTCGTGATGCCGTTGGCGCTCTGTTGCTGCTGCTGCTGCTGCTGTTGCGGCTGCTGTTGCTGCTGATCGTGGGACAGTGAGAGTAACGGCGCTTGCGCTTGCGACGGCTGCTGCTGCTGCTGCAACGTCGCCGAGGCCGTGAGCAGAGGCGTCAACACCGGGTGCGACAGTAGCAACGAGTCTTGCGCGCCGTTCAAGCCCCGATGAGACGGCGGGAGCAGCGTAGCCGTCGGAGCGTAGCTCACCGCGTTGGCTTGCTGCTGCTGCTGCTGCTGCTGCTGCTGCTGCTGATGATGATGCTGTTGCTGCTGCAGCAACACGTCTGCCGCCGCCGCCGCCACCGCCAGGTTGCTGCCTTTCTGATCTGCAGTCACACTGGACGTGAGCCGCGCCAGGCGAGCGTCGACGCGGCATAGCGGGCTCGGCAGAGCCAACTTACGCGGGGAGTGAACGTGGCGAGCGTCGTGATGCCCGGGTGGAGAATACGGCGGCTCGCTGCCGCTGTCCGGCGGACTGTCGGGCAGGCCATGTCTGCAAAGAGCACGCGTTCATTGGCAAGACGCGAACGAAAGCTTACGGGTCAGTCCCTTCTTTGGAAAGCAGACCAAGAGCGACTGTTAATGGAAGTGACAGTTAGAGATGTTGCATAAAGAACAATAGTCGGGTGGTGCGATCAAAGAATAGCTGGGAGTGGAAATGCCAAGATATTAGCGAGTTAGTCGGGAAGCGACAGTACGCAGGTGACAAGAAAGAAAGATAAGATGTTCTGTTTAATTGTAAGTACACTCACTCGGAGGTGGGTAGTTGGATGACGTCCGAGATGTCGGACTGTACCTGTGCCTCGCGGATATAACAAAAGCTACAAACAAAGGGAAACAATCTTTGGTTTTCGTCCTCAAACGCAAACGATCTTGGGATTCATTGGCTAGGGAATCGAGATCTGCCGCTACAAAATCAACTACCAAACGTCATTTCTCGAAGTATGCCGGGTTACTTCGTTTCAAAGCAGCGGTCAACGTTAAATGTGCTACGTATCTACGTGCTCGTGGTGCAAATAGCGAGAGAGCGAGATCCGCAAAGTCATCGCGTTGCGAATGATCGAGCGAGGCCCGCGCCAAAACAAACGGAAAGCAAGTACGCGAACAAAGCGAAACGAGGGGATCGACTCACGGAAGCATGTAAGACTGTGGGTCCTTGTAGCTGGCGCCGACTGGAGCACCGCAGGTGGCCGTGGCCGTGGGATGAATTTGCGCGATCGGCGAGGGCAACCTCGCCGGAAGCTGCTGCTGTGCTTGCTGCTGCTGCTGCTGCTGCTGCTGCTGCGCGCCATGACCCGCTGGAGGGCTGTTCTCGTTGTGCGACAAAGTGTCCGCGAAGTAGCTGCAATCACGCGGGCGAGTGCACTCGAGCGATGCTTTCTCGTCGCTGCGGCGAGCGCTCTGCGCTTTTGCTTTGGAGTCGCGACGCGTCCCAAATATTGTCGCTCGCGCGCTCTCGCTGCGTTTCCATTCGAGTTCAGCGAAACGGAAGCTGCAGCGAGGCTAACGCAATAGTCCCATCGTAACGAGCCTTGGCAGTGTTATTTACGAACTGCGAGCTGCCCCGCGCCGAAAGAATGCGCGGACGAAAATAGCAGCGCAACGGTAAATGCCCGCGAATCACGCGTGGCCTACGAGCGCACGGTCGTTCGGCTTTATCACGAAACTGACACTGCGTCGGCTGGTTGTTTGCGCGCACGCGAGACCAAGAGAGAGAGAGAGAGAGAGAGAGCTTTGGCCTGTCGCGAGGCAAGAAGAAAAAGCGTCGCCACGTCGATACAGGTGTCGTCGACGAAGCGAGTTCGCTCTCTTGCTTCTGCAGGCGAGAGTTACGGCACGCCGATCAGCAGGCACGGGAGAGCCACCGCGCAAAACAACGATAACGCTATCGGCAGGCGCGCGCGCTCCTATTGCCCACGCGCGCTTTTTCTCTCTCTCTCTCTCCCTCTCTCGCTCGCTCGCTCGCTCGCTAATAGATTCGCTCTCGAGGCTGCGGAATTATCGTCGCGCGCACGGCCGTACCGCGTCTATTTTCGGGACGCGGGCCGCTCCCTTCGCGCCCGTCGCTTTTCCGCTCTCGCGCACCCACTTTCCGAAGGTGAGCGCGGCACTTTTTGCAAGATCGCGACCAGCCGAAACTGCCCGACGGTCGTTCAAATCACTGGCGGCGAATCGAGTGGCGACTCAACGCGAGAGGCTGCGTTATTTTGTCGAAATCTATCGAATGAGGCTTTTCAGCGCTCGGCCTGCACGAATTCAGGTCACGTCTGGCATACACGTACATAGTTTAATCACGAGACAAGCGAATTAATCAATTAGCCTATCGTCGTGGATGACTTATTGACGCAGCGCGAGACTCGGATGTAAGAGAGAGAGAGAGAGAGAGAGAGAGAGAGAGAGAGAAAGAGAGCAAAAAATCGCGCAGCATTGAAATTCGTTGTCAGCGCCTGGAAATCAAGCAGCCGTGCGATAGGAGCGTGTTAATGCAATGGGCCGTGATTTCGTCAATTTCATCCAGTCTCTCTCTCTCTCTTTCTCTGCAGCGGCGTCATTATGTGATTACACGTCTACGTGTGCGTGCATACGCGCGGAGCAGAGTTTGGTTTGCGCAGCGCTCGCAGTCCCGATGGCTCGGCCGGGACCCGTTTTGGCTGGCTGCGCCCGGAGATCCACCCGCGCCGGTCGAGCCCTCGATCCAGTTCTCGGCCGCCGGCGTCGCAAAGGGGACTTACGTGGCTGGCTGCTCGCTGTCGCTGTTGATGAAATCTTCCAGTTGCGAAAAGTCCAGCGCCTCGTTGTCTATTCCAGCGACGAAATCGCCCCTTCCTGCAACCAGAGGAACACGACGGGGGAGATGAAAAACGATCGGCGCTCGCGTGAAGAATCGTAGCTCGCGGCCGGGCACAGGTAAATACGGCCGACTGCCGGTGGTCGTCGATCCGCGGCTGCGAGCAGATTTAGCGCTAGGCCCCTCGTCCCCTTTTCCCTTCTACTCAGCCTCTGCTCGTCGACTCGCAATATAATACAGAGTTGTAACAAATAACCAGCCGTCCGACTATCTTAGTGTGCGCGCCCGCGTCGCTTAAACGTTTAACCGCCTCGAATCAAGTGTCATAAGTCGCTTCTTCCGTTCCGCTATTATTTACAATCGCCCCGCGCTACGTGGGCTTTTTATTGCATACGCGTCGTTCCGTCTCCGCCTTTATCAATACTCCTGCCTCGATACGCTCGCTAATGTTCACCTTTGTTCTTCGACCGATCGGACTGCGCGCGGTCGTGGCGACGATTCGGTGGTCGATCTTCATTTTCCGCTGGTTAACCTCGCTCGATCGCGACGAAAATACGTCGGAAGGCAAGAACGGGCACAGAAGTAGGGAGAGCTTCGTTGACGGATACCGATCATCCGTTTTACGTTACACCACGCAAATCAATGCAGCTTCTTCCCTTGAACGATCGGACAACTTAGAATCAAACAGTGTCCAATCGAGTTTTCTCAAAACACTGGCTGCACGTCTAAATGATTTATCGCCCGACCAATATGCACGACGCAATGCATCTCAATACACTCCGATAAACTTCCAGATGTTCATCGTATTTCAAACGTTCGAAACTGCAGTAAAGTCTGTATGCTTAGTTCTGGAAAGTACCGGTATCTATTTTGATAACAAAGCGCTCCTACTGCCGTTAACTGAACCCGCTGCCAGTCAAATCAAGCGTTCTGTCCATTCAAATGTAATTCTTAATGAAATTTTAGCTTGAGAAACATTTATCAATTTTGCGTACTGCATAACTATTCGAATGCAAAGTAAGTCATTATCCAGTATAAATTTATTTACCTATCAATTGAAAGATCAAATTTGTCGTTTAACCTGTTCCATTGGAATTTTAGTTATTTTTTTCTGCCGCGTGGCATTCCCTCGCAAACTCTGTTTTCATTAATCGACCTCATATACTGTAATTTTAAATTCAGATTCTTCGGCTCGGATGAGATTTACGCGAGTCGGGCACTTCGTCAAGCAGTATCGAGTTTGGAAATTTCGCCAAGAATAAGAGTCCAATCTGCGTGTTAAAAATGTGATTAGTCTTGAACAAATTGGAACTCATCATTCCACAAAAAAGTAGCAGTAAAAATCGCGCTCGGAAGATTTTACGAAATATATGCTTCGTAGATAATAAATTTTGTCGGCTTCGGCTCTTGCAGTATATCTTCTTGATTTACGGCACAATCGAAGCCAAAAGAGAAATTCGCAGGATTTAATTCACTTAATTCAGTATACGAGTTACAAATCAGTGTAAGAATATTGCTGTGTTTTTTTCTTTGAAGAGCCATTGACTGTAGGCGTGAACGTAAACTATTCCAAGTAGGCTGTATTCACAAACTGTAGCATTTAAAATCCTTCTTTTTTTCCGCCGCGTATAGAGCGCAAAATTCTTCAATCGAGTCAGCGTCGACGGCCGAGAGCTCAGAAGGAAAAAAAAAAGAAATGAAAGATCGGAAACTCGGTCGTGGTGTGTTCCCGACACACGACTGCATCGATGCCTAAACAAGCAGCAGCAAGCGTACATCCATATTTTCCGAAGACCAGCTATACAAATTGTCAGAACGCGTCTTTGCTGAGAAAGTTGAACGTGAGAAGCAGGCATAAAGCACGAAGCTTGCGACAGAAAAATCAGGGCCGAAATATATACGTTGGACTCGCCATGTCGACGCGAGGGGGTTGGCCGCGGGTCGCGGGAGGGTGCTGTTTGCCCCGCTCGCGCCAATGGGGGGCGTTGCCACAGAGCGTCTTATCGACCAAACTACCCAAGTCGCTGCTGCTGCTGCTTTCGCTTCGAATCTCCTCGATATTACTACCAGCGACTCCCCCCCCCCCCCCCCCCCCCAATCACCACTTTTGTCGAACTTGTGTGCGTTCCGCGCCTCGTTGAGAGAGAAAAATGGTGGCATTTCTTCGGGCCGGAAGCGCCGTGACGTTCGGGAGCGTTTATAATTGACTCTCGCTTGGGGGGGACCAGCTGTGTCCGAAAACGAGAGAAGCACGACCCGTTCGATTAAGCGCGATTATCATAATTGGCTGCACAGGGGTGAGCGGCGCCGTCAGGTGTTGGTCCGACAAATGGTCGTTTCCCTTTGCTACCGCAGCTACCCTTGCCTGTGCGCGCTATGAGAACCTTATTTCCGCGCGTTCGTTGGAATTTTTTTTAAAGCTACTCGTCAGAAAGTATCAACTTCATACGGAAATCATTGTCGTTTATATACATTAGAGAAATGTGTTTATTCATTATGACTAATTGTATTATCTTATGCAAGCCTGAGCAGCGGAACATTCTCTTGTTAGGCAAACAGTAGCACGTTTCTCAAGCAAGTTTACGTAAAAATATTTGCAGAGCGAAGAGACTGTTTATATTTTTATCGGCGTACGCGCGAACCAAACGTTCATTCGACGCGATCTCATTGAATATGTGGCCGTTGGATCGCTGCACGTACGCGCGTCGGTATCCAAATCCCAAAAGAGAGCCGAGGCTCCCTGCCGTACCTGCATTCGGAAGGAGTCTCCTCGCCCCGGGATGGCCGATGTTCTCGTCCTCGAAATCAGCGCGCTCGCCGGCGATCTGGTCGGCCTGATGTTGTATCATGGACCAGGCGAAATCCATGACTGCGATCGCACGCGCGCACTCGAGGAGTCGGCAGACGGGAGAAAGGAGTCGAGGCTACGTAGCGCAGCGAAACTCGCGGTCGCGCGCGCTTCTCATCGCGCGTCACCGTACGTCGCGCGCGAGCACAAATGTGCGCGATGATCGCTGACCGATCCCGATCGAGCTTGTCGGCAGCCGAACGAGCGAGAGCGGGACGAGTCTAATATCCTGGTGGGGGAGCGAACCAGACGAGGGAGGTCCGGCCAACCCTTGTGAGCTTTGTACTCCCACTACTGCCGCGATATTCCTCCACCACTCGCTTCGCGCGCTCTCTCTCTCTCTCTCTCACTTGCTTTTCCGCTGTGCAAATTGTCTGATGATCGTGCTTTATCTTGTCGATATTCCACCTTGATTTGTTTGCTTTTTCCTTCGGCATTGGCTTTCCCTCCCGCTCACTTTGTATTTCGCGTAATGGCGCAACGATCTCACTTCTGTGTTTTCGATCGTTCGCGCTCTTATTTCGTTCTGCTTGCTTTTCCGGCCGACGTCGAGGTGCGTCGTCGAGGATTAGCTCGACTTCTCACTGCGATTCCGAGCATTTTCATGGCGAGAGAAAAAGAAATAGAAAAACAAACAAAAAAAAAAAAAAAAAACTATTATTATTCGGTATTCGTCGATAGGGGCGCCAAGCGCGATTTCAGCGAACTGATCCGCTTGTCCTTTATTCGCGTGCGGCGCGCCCGACGCAACAAGCGTGTAAGCGGTATTGATATTAGTCTTGGCTAATTATTACATGTACCATGGTGGACATAATCGGCGCGACGCATCGCTCTGCTTTCGGGTAGCGCGCACGCAAGTGGGGTACGCGTACGAGCGAAACCGCAGCAGCAGCAGCAGGTTGACTTCGTCCCCCCTGGCCCTCGTACACGCGCGCGTTTGTTGAATATGTAAATATTGAACCAATGCGCCCCTTAACCGATCGGCGACCTGTTTATTTATAGCTTGACTGCCCCGGCGTGGCTGATTCACGCGTCGCTCACGGGACGGGCTTTGTTGGCTCACTGGTGAACGCTGCGGTTCCCGCGTACGATTTGGCAGGTTCATCGGGCCACCCGACAAATCAACTCTCGTTCGTCGTGTCAGCGAGACGTCTCATTCCGCGTAGCGAATAATGGCCTTCGACTTTCCTTTTCGCACGATGTTTTCGGTAGTCGTCGTGCTCTTTATCGGTCAATGAAGCAGAAGCGAAAAAGCGGAGCACGATGACAGCCTTTTTATGCTCCGCGGGCAAGAAAAAGTTCGTTTCAACTTTTTCGCCGATCAAACTTTCTCTTGCGAACCGTACAAATTCCGCGATACGGCGGATCGCTTCGAAGAAAATAAAGAGCGACGCAACTTGGTGAGCGAAATGCAATGTCACTCGCGCGCGTGAACTATTCCTCTTACGCCGAGTAATTGAATGACAATAGAACCTAGTTTTAAATAAGAAGGCAGAGAAGAAAAGAACAGCGGTTGAAACAGTAGCTGTGCACGAGAGGAAGTGGCTGGAAATGGAGTGGGTGGGGAGGGGGGGGGGGGAGAATAAAAGAATGGCAAGATTTCGCCGTAAAAAGTTTTGAAACGGAGCTAATGGATCCCGATAGCCGCGGAAATAGCAAAGTTTTACGAGCGAACGAATCCTTTGGTGGAAATTAACGAAAAGAAAGATATCAGATTACGAGCACTCGTAGTAACACACGATCGTTTTACAGCTCCACGCCGCGAATTTGACAAGAAGCGAAGGAGAGCGGCGCCGTGCTCGGCCATAATTCGCGCGAGAGAGAGAGAGAGAGAGAGAGAGAATCGCGACGGAAATCGATTGGCCCATGCGCGTACACATCGTAGAAATAAGTTGATATTCCGGCGAGGAGCTCGTAAAATTCACATTTAAATGATAGCCGCGTTGCCATGAGAGACGTTCCAGTTTCGCGCGATGGCGCGCGCAGCCATCATCCAGCGGAGCACGCGAGCCAACGAAAACAAATGTCGCGAGGAGCCATTGATTTATCGCGCGTCATTTCGGTGAGCGCCGCCTCCGGGCCGCGAGTTTCGTACGCGGGACGAGCTCTCAACGAAGTCGCGTCGCTCGCGGCGCTCGCGCGACAGAGCGCGTCAGCCGACTTTGGCGCGCTTCTTTCCGCCGGAGCACC